TTACCAAGAAAGGAAAAGATCTTCTCCAAGTGATTGGTGATTGTGGAGACGAATACCGAAGTATATGATGTGGTAGTATGTATACTCTATACTGTATACAGTATCAACTCATGTAATTCCACTTTTGTGAGTAGAAAATCATATTACATTAATAAGACTTCTCTGGTTTTATTTTTCCTGTCAACATGTTAATGCAGGTTTGATGAGACAGACAATTCTTGTATATTCCACAAAGTTACATGTAAGCTATATATGTCTTAGTCTACAACTTTTCTGGCTTTTGAAAACTAAAGTCATAATATTGAAACTTATTAGTGAACACTAAAAATCCATTTTAGAATCTAGAACTTATTCATTCATGATGTTTACTAGATCTTAACTCATTATGTTTAGCAATTTTCCTTAGAAAACTTACTATAAGACGTTTTTTGGATAAATTTTGTCAAATATGTTTCCTATGAGACTGATACGATAATGGAATGGTCGATGGAAAAAAAAAAAACAGTATATACTTTATATTCGAAGAAGCTCTTTAGTCTTTTTTAGTCTCATTCATGTCCATATTTCATTTGGGTTACTTGTGTTTTTTGTCTTTGCATTTGTTATGACAACTCTAAGAATCAAATCAGACCCGTGTCTTTGTTACTTGTGTTCCACTGCAAGTAGGCACCACATATTCGATGCTTGATATAGCAGTAGAACTTGAAGGATGATTAATTTTCTAGGCAGGTGTACAACTTTTAAGAGCTCTGCAAAGTATATACATGTTGTGTTGATAAAAAGGTAAACTTGGCAGAATACCACTTCTTATTGAAATACTAGCTTATTATTATTCAAAGGACATGATGACCAAGATAACTACGAAAACAAAAATTAAGAAAAGAAAGGTTTACATGTATCGTAATTCGTAACTATTCTTGTTGTTCTTAAGGTGAATCAAAAGTTCTGGACCGAAACCTATACGTCTTCCAAGTCGAAGAAATGGATACCCCTCCGAGAAAAGGTTGGAACGGGCGCCTAGCTCCCAGCACATCTTGTTTTGGAGGTTTCACCACCAGACTACTGGATTTGAGTCAAACTTGGAACATAATCAAACAAATTTGCCATAGATGATGTGATTCCAGAATACACCTTTTCAACTTTATTTTCCTCTCCAACAATGTATACCTCTTGTTTGATGGGGACTCCACTTTTCAAATTCAAATGACCAAACACGAGAAATTTCTTTTCCTCATCGACCAAGAACCTTACGAGACCGCAAATATCAAGCTCAGGTTTCAAATCCACTGTTAAGACCTTGCTCCACTTAACAACCTTGGTCTCATCAATCTTATTCGTCACCCATATCTCTGTTCTTGATGTATCTGCATGCTGTAATAACACAGAAAGTTTCTCTTCTCCAACAACAGATAGAGACAAGGTTTTGTAATAAATAGATTTACATGGAAGAAGCAGACGTTCAAATCTTTCTGTTGTGTAATCAAAACTGACTAAGAACATTCCAAGCTGTTCCTCATTTTCATCAGAAGCAAACCAGTAAGTCTTTCCCTTCAAAGACATACCACATTCATCATATTCCAATTCGCAGTCCAAAGTGACATCAAGAGTCCTCCAAGAACTAGAGTTTATCTCATAGATTTCGAATTCGTTGTTCTTGCCATCACACCAACACAAAATTTTGTAGCTATTATCGCCATATTTGTTGGCTTGGTAGGATCCAAGAGCATATGAACCTATCTTTCTTGGTTCGATCCACTTGGTTTGACCGGTACAGGGGTTCCAAACCACTATTCTATTGTATTCTCCGTTGTTGCATAACAATAAACCGTTGCAGTGAGAGACTGTAAAAATATCGAAATGATCTAAACTAGCTTGAGGGTCAACTAGACTAAGTTCAACTTTGAACTCTATAGATGGAATTCCATAAAGATTGACTCTCATCAAACAAACCATATAATGCTTCGAGATAAGAACTAGAAACTGCTTTGCGGCTTTGTCCAAATGCTTTCTTGTGAATCTCCTCTCGCTGAATAAACTGTTCCATCGTTTGCATGTATATTGTAATTGCTTTAGAGATATGTGATGCAGAGAAACTACTATTCAATCGAAAACTTGAAAATCAAACACAAATTGAATCAACGTTCATGAAACGCGGATCCAAATCTCATCTGCTGAGTTCATAAGAAACTCTAGCCAACAATGAGTCCACCATTGTCACACAATACAAGAAATTCTAAGAAAAAGATGCCAAAACAATTCTCTGATTTTAGCATAATGAAAACAGAGCACAAATGCGTGACTATAAAGAAGAAAAGATTCCTCTGCGTAACAAACTTCACACGAGCGTCACACGAGTCTTCAACCAGCTGCTACCACGTGTTATCACAAGTTGCACAACCTTCTCTCAATAATCTGCTTCCACGTGGCTTCCTTGATTTCCTATAACAAATCTCCCCTGTTTGAAAGACCTTGACCTCAAGGTCTAAAGCTCGGGAAACCTTACATAAAATCAAAGAAGAACTCCCATGTAGCTTCATCCACAAGATTATTAGTCACATAGACAAGCACCATTGTAGCAGCTCGAAGCATGTATGGTTTGAAGCAACTGTTGTAACAGGGAGATTTTGACAGCTTCCTCACCACTTGTTGTTCTTATCACCACACAGTTTCCATTTCTTATCCATCTCAGTTTTGTACTTAAAACATCAATCTCTCAATACTCCTTTCCTAACGAATGTAGAAACTTCCCATGTCTTGTGACTCGAGTTCGATCCCGGGTCAAAGGTTTGGCCCTGTATGACTTCAAGCTTTCGCTCTTCTTTGGCAAATTTCAGTTTAACAAGCTGATACACACTCAGATACATCTCAGCAAAAGTCTTGGCCTTACCTTTAAGCTTGTAAATAACCAATTTCCAAAACCAGCTTTCAAAACCAGATTGTAAACCCCTTGATGCTACTCTATGTTTGAACTTGGAAGACTTGATCTTTTTGTTTCTCATCACTTCATGGATGACCAAACTGTTATGTGACAACTGCTCCTTCACCATTATAATCCGGTCATACACATATTTTTCTCCATGACCTGTATCACCCATTGTTCTCCCACACTTTAACCCGAGCATACATCTCACACTAACAGTCATAGACACTTTGAGCATCTCATCATGTTCTCCTATCTCATATCTTTTGTTAATAGCACTCCTTTGTAGAAAAGCCAATAGAACATGCTGGACATCGTCTAGCATAACATCAAGTTATTTGAACTTGAACCACCAAGTCTTTGAAAGCCTTTGCTTTCTCAAATTTTGCAACAGTTTTGTTCTTAGTGGCATTGAATGAAACTCTTGGAGTACCATACTAGCAGCACATTCAAACTCAAATTGTGATCTCATAATTGCAGATAAATCTTCATGAACATCCAAAGATCCAATGGGAGTCCTATGGCTAAATTCCAAATGAGAGATTGATACCTGCTGTTTGAGAAGCAAACACCTATGTGGAACCAAGCTAGGTTGCAGAAGTGAGTCCGTAGAATGATTATTCGCTTGTTCATGAATCCAGCCTTTCACTTCCCCTTCCTTCTTTGTACACAACTCGCTACCATTTTGACTTGACGAATCTGTTTTACCGACTTCTGATTCGGATCTAAGTGCAAGTTGTGGTCGACTATCCTTTCCCTTCAATGGCAACAGCTCACAAGATGTCATAGCCTCACTTTTTACCCATTCTTTATCCTCCTCTGCTTTCATTTCACTTTCTCTCTTAAGTGGATGTGCTTGCTCATACAATCTTCCAACCAAAAAACATTGGTTCACTGTTTGTGGCTGAAATATTTGAACATTCTCTCTAGTATCAGTTCTCAACCCTGCCAAGTAAACACTAACCAAGTAATCTTCATCGATGTCCACTGTAGTGTTAATCAACCCAAAACGAGCATGATACTCCTCAATTCCTTCAGTCTCCTGCAATTGTTTCAGTTGTGCAATTGAATCATCCACATGTTTACTATATTTTCCCAGCAATAGCAGCTTGTAAGTCTCCCAATCGTGCATAATATGCTTCCACAGACCTGATTGAGCAATTGATTGGTGCCAAGCAGCAGCAATATCATCAAAATGGATAGATACTAAACCAATTTTCAACTCATCCGGTGTCTGATCTATCTCAAAGAATTGCTCGACTAGGATTAACCACTCCTGAACCTTATCACTGCTAAACCTAGGGAAATCTAACTTCTCAAGCCTTGTAACCCCAACATAAGTATCAAGAATACCTGATTGCTTCCCAACTTTCAGATCCAAAGAGGAAGTAGCCGATGCTTGTGAAGATCGGAATTGATTACAAACATCAGCGTGATTCGATGGACCAGACCTTGATAACATATGAATAGATTCAAATATCTCAGCGAAATGCTTCTCCATCTTCGAATTTTGTTTTGCAACTGAGATTTCCAACGCTTGAGTGCGAGAAATCAATTGATCCAACCTGGATCCAAGTGATTCTTCAGCATCGCTACGATCGTCATGTGTTTCTCCCAGATCAGGTTCGTTTTGAGAAGCTCGAACTCTTGTCGCCACCGCCATTGATTCCGAGGAAGAATGGCTCTGATACCAGTGATGCTGAGAAACTACTATTCAATCGAAAACTTGAAAATCAAACACAAATTGAATCAACGTTCATGAACCTCAATCTTTTTTTTTTAATATTTACTTACAAATAAATAGATTGAGAAGTCAATATTTTTTTTTAAATATGGATATATATATATATATATATATATATAACCCATAAAAATTGTATATGTAGTTTTTTGGTAAAAAATTAAATATTGTAGTAAATTAATATTTTAATGACTTAATTTTATAGGCAATTGACAAAAATAAACCAAAAAAATATTTTTCTACAATTTGCACAATATTTCTAAAATTTCCCAAATAACATCGTAAACTTTAACGAAACATTAAATTAACTAAAACAGAAAATAGAAAATAGCACACACTAACCTCATCTTCTTCGACGAAACCCAACCAACCCGATTCTCATTCTCGTTCTCGTCTCGCCGGAATCTCGTACTCGGCTGGCTGAAATCTCGTTCACACCATTCTCGTGACGGTTTCACATTTTTATCTCCTCGCTGTAATTACACTTTTATGTGTAGAGAATTATGTTTACATTAATAAAATGTTTCACATACTTATACATTTAAGAAACAATTTTAGCTTAAAGAGTTTTAGCCCCCAAGAAGAAACAAGAATTTGAGTTTAAAGAGTGATGATCTTGAGGAACAACTTTTTGATGATCTTGATATGCAGGTTTGTCTATCTTCTTATCATCGTAGCCTCGTAGGATTTTCTTGGATAATGAAAATTTGGATTAATATAAGCTCTGTTTGGTTCAATTATCCATTCTAGTTGTGTTGTTTTGAATCCTTGAAAATCTTCAGTGATCAAGTTATTGAGTTTATGTTTTTTTTTTGGCAGAAATAGTTTTCTAATGGTGGAGGCAAGCCCATTAGTACATGTGGCCGCTCAAATCAATACGTTAATAATGAAAATCAATACACTTTTATGTGTAGATGTCTCCCAAATTCTCTACTTTTTTTCTCTGTTCTAACGTGTTTCTCTATATCTCTCTCTCCGATCTTGTTTGAAGTGAATTTTCCTACTTTGGTTTTTTTTTTCGTTTTTGATGTGTGGTTCTGTGAGATTATTATATTAATACGGAGTTGATGACGGCTACTACGACGTAGGATGGAGGATTAAGCTTCACGGTGGCTTCGGTAATGGAGGATGTGTTGCAGCAACATGGAAATGGGCTGAGAAATCATGATCTAGACTAGAGTCTCGTCGAGCTGAAGAAGCTGGTATCCATTTTCTTTGTGCATTCTTCTTTTCTTGAATTGTGTAATGCTGATTGTTGAGCATCGATGATTTACCACATAATTTTTGATATGGTTACAATTGTTGTTCTGGGTTTGAAAATTTATGGTAAAAATTGAATAGCTTTCTTCTTCCTTAGTGTGACTACTAGCTTTAGCTTTTGACAGTTTGTTAAATTGTAGAGAAAGAGCTTATGGTTGTTTTTATTAATTTGAGTATCCACTATCTTTACATTAATGTGTTAATTATATAGTTCATGGCGGTTGTTGAGCATGATTGTGATCTTCTTCAAATGTATCGTGGAGCTGGTGGGATCGTGGCTGGATCGAATCATGAATAACGTGGTGGTAGTGCGAGTGAGTAAGCTAAAGTGAAAGAAGACTGTGTTTGAGATAAAACTGCAGTCTTTTGATGATTAAGCTAAGGAGTTGAGGAGTTTTACTGATTTGGGTTTGAAAGAAGTTAAAGCATTGGTGGAGAAGACTCATGCGATTTTGAAAGCTAGATTGTCTAAAGAAGAAGATGAGAAAATCGTTGAGAAGTTGAAAGCTCTTGGTGTTAAAGTTATTTTTGAATGAAATCATCAATTTGTTTGATTGATTATTGTGATATATACAAGTGATGTGTGATGCTTGTAGGGATGACTATTAGTTGTGACATGTTGTAATATGATGCTTGGTACATTATCTTGTTTGCGAATTTAACTTTTAGTATTGCAAAGTCTTTTTCTGTTTCTTTTGCTGATGGATTTTTTTTATTGCTTGTTCATAGTCTGGCCTTGGAAGGCAATATGGAGCGCAAGAAGATCCAAAAGTCTATCAACAGTTTACGAATGATTCAAAAGGAATCTTGTTTACATCGTTGGGTTTCCCCTGGAAATGATGAACATCATTAAGATTTGGTCATATTTTAAGATTGTAATCTATTTTTTTAAAATAATTTCATGTGTTAATAAAGTAGTCAAAATACTCCAAATATAAAATTATAGTCTAAATACTACTTATTTTGACATATTTTTAAAATTTTATTCTATTGATGCATAAATTGATTTTTGTTTTTCCTTTCAAATAGGGTTTTATGATGGTTTTGCAATATTCTTGTTTGTGACTGGTCGAGTGCAGTGACCGCACTTAAACTACAGCCAAAAATGGGTTTGAAATTTCTAATCACAGGACTTAGGGGATACCTTATGTGTCTGCATTTCTTACGATGAGTTTAAACTTTGCAGTCTCCATATTTGTTGATATCTTCCAGTGGATAGTGATGATGATGATGGTGGTGTATATGGAAGTAATACAGAGTAGAGAACTATGATCAATCGATAATATAACTAAGGAAGCAAAGTGTTGGCTCCATGAAGATGGTGGACAGAAGATATGCATTGAGAAATTAGAAATAGATGTAAAGAATTAAAGAATCATTTTCTAATGAAATAGATGTATTCGAAAATTATATAATAAAATAAAATCATTTTCTAATAAAAGATTGACATAGAGAAAGCTTGCAATACATGAGATAAGCTGTCACGTATTTATTGAGGTGAAAAATTATAATTAACTACATATCTGGAACCCATAACATAAAAAAGCATTGATAACTTTCTCTAAAATTACATTGATAACATTCTCTAAAATTATTATAAAAAAAAAAACAGAGACAATAGAATTTCACCCCTTTTTGAAATGCTTATGTTGGAATAATAATATACAACAGTTTTTTTAATTATTCTACAAATTTTATAGAAAGATCTTTAAGAATTTCCGATGCACATGAAAAAAAAGAAGATATTAAACTACAAAATTTTGATATTAAAATTATATTTCATTCTCTTTCATAAACAAAATTAATTTTAAAAAGTATCCCGCGGCATAGCGCGAGTTTTTTTTCCTAGTATCTCCTAAATTTTCTCCAAATCTAATTTTCATCAAATCTTCTAAAACTATTGATTAATCCAGTACACCCTAATTGTTATACTGAAACAATTTTACCATAAATGAATGTTACAAAAAATATATATATTGAGGTTTAATTCAAACCCAAACATTAAAGAGAAATACCCCATAATGCGCTAAAACAACATTAAATAAAATTTATAGTTGGTCAGTTAAAAATCAACATAAAATTGCAAGAATACTTACTAAATTTTCTTTAAAAGAATTATATATTCATCGATTGGTTTAGGAGGGATAGATTTGCAAATCACTGAAATCACCAAAACATTATACATATAAATTATCGATGAACAAATTGATGTACCAAAAATATTAAACTGCAATTTCGATATATGTATGATTGTTGAATTTGATATTTTTTTTTTCAAAAAAGGGTGCTTGCGCGTGGCCATCAGATGCTATCTCTTTTTCTCTCCCAAAAAATCACCGCAACAACTTCGAGTTTCTCTTGTGAGAGTCTAAGTCCCAAACTTATGAACACTTGATGATCAAGAGATCTCCAAGCTTGTCATGCAGAAGGTGGAATTCACGAGCTGGATCTGAAGCACTCTTTCATGAATCAAGGGGTGACTCAATGGATAGTGGGGGTGATTGACTCGCTCAATCAGTGGGATAATCGACTCACTCGATTAATGAACGAATGAAGGATGTTGAATCACTCAATAAACTTAATCCGCAGGTTTCTAAAGTAAGTAATTTACTCACAAAGAACTAAAAAACAAAATGATAAAGACGTACTCAAACTTTGACAAGAAGAAACGTTTCTATTACAAATCGTAAACATTTATGAAAATATGGTCATTGGACAATAATTGTAGAATCTATCCAAATAAGGCAAGTGAGGTGTCTCTTGTATCTTGTCAACTTGAGGAGAAATTTGTGACGTCTTCTTGGAAGCTTCTAGAGGGTCTCAAGAGTCTCACATGTACAAGCGCACAAACAAAGAAGGAAAGAGCGGTTGAGAGTTAATATCCTTCGGCTCCATATATGGCAAGTAGTAACTCTGTGGGTTCTTGTGTGGTAAGGTGTACCAAAGTTCGTGTGGTACATGTATTGTGTGGTCTAGATGTTCTCCTGGTTTCCATATGTAGCTTAGAGGTGCGGCCAAGTGTAGAATAAAGAAGATTTCACTGTTTGGCTTCATCTGGTCTAGTACATGAGCAGGTAGTTCAGCAAGTAGTTCCACGAGTAGTACATCGGGTAGATCAGCGAGTAGTTAAGCTTCTCTATCAGCAAGTACATCAGCTGATGTACTTGTAACATCTTCAAATCAATTTCTTAGTAAATGAATTCCTTGATGACTTGATGTTGCTTCATTAAAACCTTTCTAGGTAAATCCATTGGTACAAACCCTAGATAAGGGAAAAAGAGTGCAACGAACAATTTCCACAATATGTTGATTCGGCTCGTTGGTCTTTGATTCCTCATGAACCATCATTAGCCTTCTTAGTGTTAATTTGCTGGTGAATAATTAACTCTAGGCTTTGTGCTTGATTAGGACTCCATTTGACTAAGAATTCTCCCAAATGCTCTATATTAATCGGTTTGATATATTTACCGGCTGATTTGGTATGCTTCTGGTTTGGTTTGATTTGGATGTCTGTATCATCTGAGAAAGTTTTTAAAACAAGCTAGTCAATAGAAGAAAAATTAATATTATAATTTTATTTTTAGAAAACAAGAAATGTAATAAAATATGAAAATGTCATTAACTACAACAGATACGATGTCGTATTGATGTGTACCCATTTAGGTTAATTGTAGTTGTATATATAAGGTTCATGAACTGTAATTCGCCGTATCTCCTAAAAAAATATTTTAAGATTTGAGATCTGACATCCTTCAAAAAATAAGATATTGAACGTCAATAGTCTGGATCTTGCTAATGAAGTCATGAATCCGTTCAAGCTCAATCCATATCCATGTCTCTCAATTTTAAGGTATGATTATCCGCATCTAGATATGTTTTTTTTATATTGTTAGTCTTTTTGTGATTAGATCCATAAGAATTTTAATAATAAAAAAAAAGTTAATTGGATTTGGGTAAACTATATGGTAAAAAGGCGGTCAACAGCATGGATCTTGCTGATGAAGTCATGAATCCGTTCAAGCTTAATCCATATTTTATGTCTCTCGATTTTAAGGTATGATTATCCGCATCTAGATATGTTTTCTTATATTGTTATTCTTTTTGTGATTAGATCCATCAGAATTTTAATAATAATAATAATAAGTTAATTGGATTTGCGTAAACTATATGGTCAAATTGTTCATGACTTGAGATTTTGCGTGTTCGAAAAATAAGATATTGAAGGTGGTCAACGGTCTGGATCTACTTGATGAAATCATGAATCTGTTCAAAATCAATCCATATCTATGTTTCTCGATTTTAAGGTATGATTATCCGCATCTTGACATGTTTTCTTATTTGGTTCGACATTTGTAATTAGATCAATAAGGATTTAAATTTTTTTAAAAAAGAAGAAGAAAAAGAGCTAATCGTATTTTAGCAAACCAAATATGGTCAAATTGTTAAGGATTTGAGATATGAAGATTTAAGATATTGAAGGTGAACGGTCAAGATATAGCTAATCATATCATGATTCTGTCCAAACTAAATCGATATCTATGTTTGTCAATTTAAAAGTATGATCATCCGCATCTAGATATTTTTTTTTTTATTGATTAGTTATTTGTGATTAAATCAATGAAGATTTGAAAGAAAAAATAGTTAAACGGATTTGAGATAAACTAAATATGGTCATTTTATTCAGGATTTGGGATATTACATTCGAAAAATAAGATTTTGAAAGCCAAGATCCTGGATCTAGTTGATGTAATCATGAATCCATCCAAACTCCATCCACATCCATGTCTTTTAATTTTAAGGTATAATTATATGTGATAAATTTGTTATCAAATATTTATGAAAATTAATTTAAATTTCTATACTTCAAAAAATATTAATTTTAATTTAATTCTCGTTTTAAGTATGATTTTACGAATATAGGTTCGTAGAAAAATATTATTTGTATGAATATATATGTATATATAATATAAGGTGATTATATAAAAATTATTAGATAAGTTAAATATCATTTTGTTTGAAGTTAGTAAATAGTTTCTCTGGTAGCAGAGAACAAAAGAAGTAGATAGACCCTTTTATCCTTTTTGTTGGTGACTAATAAGGCTTTGTTAGTATATTTTAATACTACTAAAATTTTATAAATATATCATAGAGTGGAAGTTAAAGCCTAAGTATATAATTTTATATTTTTTTCAATTATATAGTGCATATATTTTTGAGTTCTTTCTTTTTTTTTAAAAAATAAATATTTATGTTTTGGAATATGAAATTATTATGCAACTACGAAAAATATTTTTATACATAATTATCAATAAATATGCGGGTACGGGTAAAAGGTCAGATATATAGCGGGTAAGGGTAAAATGTCAGATATATAGCGGGTCAGCGATTTTTACCGGGTACCCGTTATTAGATGATCGAGTAAGAGTAAATTTCTTTTACTACTTGTAAGGATCATGTCGAGTAAAGGATATCTCAAAATTTAAGGATACCCGTCCCGTGTCCAACCCTGGTGACTAATTAGTAACTACTTACGGCCTTACAAGTGACAATTGAGTAAGGTTGTGTTGGACCCTCCACTTGCTTTACAGTTTCCACCACACTCATATATCTTGAGAATCCGATGACGATTCCAAGATCCAAGCACTTGATCAACCATCAATGAACAAAATCG